GGTTATTCGGTACCCTGTTCACGATCATGACATTCATGTTTAACTCCTGGCGCCATTTGAGCATTGGGCGTCAATTTGGAGCCCTACACTTTTTCATCAAAATCGGTAAAAACTTGCGTATGAGGATGTTAGATGCCCTGACCTCGAGAATGGCATTCATTTTTCGAAATCAGCGCCATTTAGTGCTCCGCTGAGGAAACTGAATGCCAAGAAAAATGGAACAAGATGAGATATCCAGTAATAGGTTTTAGCCTGGGGGTAGGGAGTGTTTCTGTTCAGGCCAGGCTCAGCCTTAGCAGAGTGCACATGATGGTTCTGTCCTCCATTAGCGGGCGCCAAAAATGGATACCATATTCGTAGTCTGGCTGTCGAATGACGCTCGTGCAAGTATTCATTAATTTTGACGATCAAGGCTGTTTTGGCGTCGGTGCCTGTGACGAAGGCGCTAGGCGATTTCATGCCAAGCTGATGTGATATACATGTTTAGGAGGTCAAACTGCCCCAGGGACAAGTTTGGAGCGAATTTGGTGGTTCAGGGCATTTTGACGCAAGGCGCGAAAAAAGTAGAAAAAGTCGGTAGAAAACGTTCGATTTCGGAAGGTTTGGGTAGTAACAAATAAATAATACCCATTTTTCTTATAGTGCGCCGAGGATCTCATAATTGTCGATGGATATCTTCCCATTGATTATTTTCTCAAATTCTCCGTAGATACCCAGTGGGGGTTGAGATTTGCTCGATCACATGGGTGCTCGGACCAGTTCTTACCGTGCTTGCGATATCTCAAGCTTTGATGCAATAATTGCTTTTTTGGATTGTCTCGAGTCTTCTTTTAGCTTACACTATGTGGAACGCTGCAAGCATAATTTTCTTGAAGTGTAGGTTCGCCAGTTTTCTGTTGAAGCGCGTGTTTAGAACCTGTCTCTGTCTCTCAGTTCAATTAAAGTCACTGGTACACTTTATCACGAAAACATCCGCTCCTGTTCCTTTCTTGTTCCCAGCAAAAGCAGCCTCAGAATGAAAGAAGAGCAGACCGTTACCTCTTTGAGCCACTTCGAATCGGCTTCTCTTAAAGTGCTCTGTGAAAAAACCACTTCCATTTTTCCAGATTAGAAGAACTGCCGAATGAAATTCTCCTAAAAATTGTGGCTTATTGTGACTTTACTTCAAAGATGAACATGCGAGCAGTACGTTTCCTCAGTCTTTCTTTTAATCTTTTTGATTTTCCTCAATGATTACAAAATTGGACTTTGAAGGTTAATCATCGTTTCTGTGCGTTAGTGGAAAAGAGTGCTCACGCAGTCGTCATAAACCTTTATTGCGGTGTTGGAAATCAGGCGGGCGAGATTGAGATGTGAAAGACACGTTCGCATCCGAGGGTGATCGGTTTTATTGAACGCAGAGCGCGATTTTTTGCGGTTCCCATGGTGCTATGCCGAGGACTTCTAGCAAGGAGTCATTCAGGTGAACATCATTCTTTCAAATGCTCGAACTTTTATGTGACGCTGTGTCGTCCTCTAAAGCAGATGGAGCTTTTGGTTCCGGCCACCCGTCTTCCAAATATCATGAGGTTTATGAATCTAATGGATGGTCTGTCCACAACCGGTTCTAAATGAGCTTGCGTAACTGAACCAGTTCAGAGGTATGAAATGAAATTCCAGGTAATTATTTGTAAGACTGAAGCGCTAAAGCTCATGAGAGAGTCGGTGCTGGATGCGACCTTACGTCGCAACCCCATGCAAATCTCCTTCTGAATCATACTACTGATCACATTTTTTTCTGCCTTCTAGGATTTTCGTTGCTTTTCACGACATCGTGTGCTGTCTGCCATTCACTTGAAGCTCGGTGGAGTTCCATTAGAGACAAGCGCGCTGGCTCAGATGATATTCTCGACGCCTCGCAGAGCTGTCAGTGATGTGATCATTGATAAAGTGCACACCGTCACTGCCGAAACACTCGTGAAGTTGATTGGTAAAGTGAGAAATCTCTCAAAATCGTTTTGGGTTCCTATTTCTGAGAAGTTTAGTAAACTGAGGTTGGCAGTCAACCTCGCAGATGTGCTTGCTTGCCTTTGAGCTTAAGCCTAGGCCAAAACCTTGCCTAGCCCAAGTCAAAGCTAGACGCCGCTGTTTAGCGCCACATCCAACATTAAACGTCGTAGTTATGGAAAGCTGAGTCAAGCCACACAGGCGGGCAGGGACAACTGCCGGATCAATAACAGACCTTTATACTTGCGGCAGCATTTTCAGAGTCTAGGAAAGTATAGATAAAAATCTAGCGTTACGAGCGTTCCACAGGCAGTCGCTGAAAACGCTGACGTACGCTCAAAACGTTGCCATACGCGCGAAACCCTCAAGGCCCTGTATGCTTAAAACCCTGACGCAAAGTATAAGCGGAGCGCTGACTGTGAACGGTAGGGTCGTGGACGTATCTAACAAGATTTATCCGATCCGCATCTTATATTTAGGCTTATCCATCAAATAAGTTGGTCTTCTGTAATCACTGCTCGATTCAGTCTTCGGAAGCAATAGTACCTGAACTTCTGTTGTCTTGTCCTGCACGAGATGTTAGCATAGTACCTAGTGTGGCGTTGGTAAGTTTTAGTCTCACTTTCACCAACTTTGTGCAGTTTCTTTTATTTCAGTTGCACCACCTGTTTGATGATTCGGCTCTCGTGCGCCTCGTCTTATCAGATCATGCAATTCGGCGGAATATTCGACTCCCTCTGTGTGCAATCACTCACCGAGGCATTAGTCGCGCTGCTCAGGTATTTCAATATTACTATTTTTTTACCACGAAAAGAAATAATACATTACATCTTATATGACAACATCCACAGCTTTAGAATTTTAAATGACTCAAAACAGTCATCCAGGCGTTCTATAAGCGGTGCTGCGATGTAATGGCTGAACTCACTGCCGAAATGCATGCACCAAAATGGGAAGTATGTGGTTTACGCAGTTTTTTCTCGTACTCTTCTTTTCATAATGATATATACGGCCCTTTGTAAATTGACTGCAGGCTGCATTATTTAAAAACCAAAGATTTCTGGTTTTGGAGGTTAGAAGTTATTTTCATATTGGACTATTTGAGTATCATTAAGCATAAATAAGGGCACGTTAAAGTCAGTGGTTTGCTTGGCTTCCCGGAAGATTCTGATGTATATTGAATGGACCCGAAGGAGCGATAGATTTGGTTGAGTTGGTCCGCGGATCTATCTCCCAAACGATGCACGTGAGAGCGGCGCGACTTATCACAGCCGTTTCTCCGCCTAAGCTTTTCTTTTGTCTCGACGTGGTTCTAGACCCGTCTCCTATCCGATTATGCCTCATATTACCGCTGGTCACCAGCTCAACTAGGACTGCCTTTCATCCTACCATTCAGACGCTTCGATTTTGGCCTTCTCCTTCCGGGTCCAGATTTTGCCCTAACGCATCTTCAACCATACTTCTCTGTTTTGGGTGCCACAGCTTGCCATTTTTACTTTTGCCATTTCCACATATTTAGAATAAATGGTATAGTTCTATTTTGTAGGCTATTTCGAATCCGTACTTGCTTTGTACGCATATATCTTCCTTTTTACCGTGTATGCCTTCTTGATCGGTTTAGCTTCTTTGTTTCTATTCGGGCAGCAATCCTTTCAGATCTCAGTGTCTTTTCCATCGTCCATACTGATCGATCGGAACTCCATAGAAGTGCCAGATGAAATGCGAGGACAATTCGCAATCTGGAGTTTCTTCCCACAATACAATGACAGCTTTACTGTAGAGGTTTGATCCATGTGGAAGTTTTTCTTTTGTGTTGTCATGCTGTGTCTGTACTCAGCGAGCTTGCAGTCAGCAGCCCAGGTATCAAGGTATAGCATGGTATATCACCGAGCATTGCTGCTTAGGCTGCCAGCTGTTTGGTGCGGTAGGTAATATAAGTGAGCATCAAAGTGACCGCCTGGTCACGCACCAAAAGACGTCCTATTTTTGCGCCATCTCCCTAGCTGATTTCGCTGAACAGTTCATTCTTATAATGGTGTGAATCGAAAGAGCTTCTTCGCTGCAAAGCTGGTTTACACTAGATAAGAGTCGTTTCGGCGTCGCGAGTTTATTTGTATCCGAGCCATAACTTACGAGATTTTCTGCAAGCTCGGTGAGTATAGACCTTTTCAGAGAAAGCTGCGTAATAGCGAGCCTCAAAAGACAAAAGGAAATAACCATGTGCTCCCCTACCTTGTAAATATCCTACCTTGATGTTTTTAGGTTCGCGTGGGTGGGATGAATCTGAAAATCATAGTGGAATCACCATGAGACTGTTTCAGCGAACCTCTTTATGACATGCATTTTCCTTTTTCTTGACATTACCCTTCTTGTGTTTCACACCGCCCTTCGTCTTTGGTGTTTTTGATCTCTTTCATTTTCTTGAATATGTCCAGAAAATTCAACTTCTTCGTCACTGCACAACTTAATTCCCCCGTGATTTTAGTATCTGTGATGTTTTTACGAGGTATAATAAGATGGAACATGGTCAAGCAAACTATGGGTATCACATATTCGAAGTAGTTCGTTAACTGCTTCAGAAGACATGCGAAAATGTTTCTCTTTTGTAGCCTTTCATATTTCAAGTACAGGATTTCAACTTCACTATC